CTAATTCAAACCGTAAAGCAGTCTGAAATTGGACTCGATAACGCATAACAAGTTGACACGGTACATGCAATTGTGTTGTAGGGAATCACCTACAACATTACAATGAAGAACGAAGAAGAAGATGCAAACATATGACAAGCTATCGGCAGCAAAATAGTCCATGCAATTCTCTGTCCCTGATCATAGTCACTCGTGGTCAAGAAATATATTTTATTCAATATTTTTCAAAGTTCCCCAATTATTACAACGAGGATGACCAAAATAAATTTAATCAGAAGAATTTTGTTTTCCAGATTAAATCAGCAATGCCGGTATAAATTAAATCTAAAATGTGTTTCCCTCTTCATTCTTTAGGAAAAAAGTTTATAGACAGCTATTTTGTTTTCCCGTCAAAAATAAATATATGTATGCGATTATTTTCCCATCGATCATGACGAGCGATTTCAACAGAGTAACAAAAAGCGTTACTGTAAGAAACAATAAAGCTAAGCTTTTCCATGTGTTTTATAGAATTATACTCACAATGAACAATACACATAAACTAATCTATAATAAAAATAAACCGGGAGTGATCTCCTCTAAAGTTATATTCTAATATAACAATACAAGGAATAGCAAATCGGGATATAGACATAATTTGTAATACATTTTTAATTACTTAATTTTTTTTTTTTAAATGTGAATCTCGTAGAAAAAAATAATTGCGCCCCAAGTGATCGCCAAATAATCTGTGTATAATGGTGCGGAATATTATTAGTACTTTATAAATTCACATGCGTTTTTTTAGAACACAGAAGTAGCGTAAATTACTACTTCCGTTAAACGGAAATTTCTAAATTTTTTAAAGACGGTGGAGCGTTAGATCTCTTATTTACATGTGAAATTTCATTTATCTATGTAAAACGGTACTCAAGTTATAGGTTTTTGAAAAATTAAAAGGAGAATAAGTGTCCACTTTCGGTAACCGGAAATAGCTGAAAAGGTGATACAGAACTACAAATTTGATATAATACTTATGTGTGAAATTTCATCAACATAGCTGTAACTGTACTCAAGTAACCTTGTTCACAGACACACATACACACATACATACATACACACACATACGCATAATTACAATACTTCCTCTATACTTCGTAAACGAGAAAGTAATCGTACATTTTAGAACTTACAACAAGAATCCTATCTTTTGAGCATATACTACTTCGATGTGTTTAAGTTTACTGGATAGAAGGCAAAACATCTGAACAGAAATGCCTGTTAACTAGCATCAAGGACATATTTAAATATACTAGTATTGTGTGTAAAAAATCTGAATTAACAGGCACAAAGTATACAACATTTAACAGCTAGTATAAAGGTTAAAATAATCAAATTTCGATATGTTTTACGATGCAAATTTTTTTTTCATCCAAAATGTAAGAAAAAGTGCATACAAAACCGTATATGAAATTTCAAATATATATTACTGGGTTCATAAATTCTGATTCTGTTGAAATTTGCTCTAGTAGAAAATGGAAGTTGCAATTTCTTGTCAAACTTGTCACAGTGATCATCGATATTTCCATCGAGTGCAAATCCTGTTCCTAGATTTGTCGTATGTTTCAGTCCCAGGTTGCGCCCTATAGAGAGACAGTAAGGTTTGTAGACAGACAGTACGTTTTGTAGACAGGCAGTAAGGTTTGTAGACAGACAGTACGTTTTGTAGACAGGCAGTAAGGTTTGTAGACAGTTATATTTGTAGACAGACAGTACGTTTTGTAGACAGGCAGTAAAGTTTGTAGACAGACAGTACGTTTTGTAGACAGGCAGTAAGGTTTGTAGACAGTTATATTTGTAGACAGACAGTACGTTTTGTAGACAGGCAGTAAGGTTTGTAGACAGTTATATTTGTAGACAGACAGTAAGGTTCGTAGACAGACGGTACGTTTTGTAGACAGGCAGTAAGGTTGTTCGCAGGCGCCCAACAGGGTGCAGTTTGACGCTCCGGGCTATCCCGGTAGCGCTATGGCGCATACGTTCGTTTTAAAGAGTGTGATAGAGTATGGATAAAAAGAAGTTTTATAGTCGTATGATAGTATTATAGTCGTTCACTAATCTGAATCCGGCGCGTCTGACCGCGCCCCTGCAATTCGTCCCGGGCTATCCTGGAACTTTCTTTTAACCCCCCGACTAAGCGCGGGGACGGGCACGCCAGTGCTATATCAATGGGTATCGCTCTGTTTATGATTTTAAAAAAAACATATTCTAAGAGATATACATCTCCATAAAAGCAAGTTCTAATAAACTACTCTCAAGTTTTTTGAGAGTGGTTTTATGCCAAAGCTATAGAATTCTATTGCCCGACTATACTGGAAATAGCATAGTAAAGACGTTGGGTTCACATATGTGCGGTTTGGTGAACAACCGATTCGGGGGAGAAGAGTGTTTAAAACCCAGAGGTCACGAAGGATTAAGTAAGTCAAGCATCGCGAAGCGTATGGTTGTATATGAATATACCCGAAAGTATAACCGTATTATTTTAAAATGCAAATTTAGCATAATATCTACAATTGTTTCAATAGTATTGTCATTGGACGAATGTAAGAGTGTTATTTAACTTAAAGAATCTTTTGTAAAGACATGATTGGAAAGTACAACTCTCTAACGCCATCCGACACGTACTCAATTAAAACATTTTCATTTAATCCTTACCTCCATTTACGTATATTTCACAAACAAAAGACTTTGCTATGAATTCTATTTTAACTCTGTTGACCATATCCTCAAGTTGAAAATATATATCAGTAACTTGCCCCTGTGTGTAGGTTACATGTCTTAGTATGTTACATTCTTTAGATACCTTGAAGAATTTCATCATCGATATTTTAACTGTAACTAGAGGGGAAAATGTGATACTAAATTATATATATATATATATATATATATATATATATATATATATATATATATATATATATATATATATATATAAGCATTTATGAATAAATTATATATATATATATATATATATATATATATATATATATATATATATATATATATATATATATATATATATATATATATATATATATATATATATATATATATATATATATAAGCATTTATGAATAAATTATATATATATATATATATATATATATATATATATATATATATATATATATATATATATATATATATATATATATATATATATATATATATGAAATATTTATGTATTTAGTTATATGTGGTCGAGTGGATGAGTATACAGCAGATAACTTGTAAGTTTACGACCTTGAGACACGTATCATGTCCGTTTAACGTCCGTGAGTCAAGCCAACACTGATGGGTACCTTGGTCACGTTTGGTAGTCGGTGTGGCAGGGCATAGTGTTGGGCTTTGTTTATAACTTTGATCTTTGTTTCTTATTATCGTTAGTGTTTCCTTAAACCACAGTCGGGGAATTATCGTCCTGGGGGTATACCGCCAGTAGATTATCTATTTGATTATATCCCGGGGTTGTGGTACACGAACGATTTATCTTAGCAAACTATCCCTTCTTAACCCGAGGTCATAGATGAAGGTAAACCCCAAATCCCCCATGGGTATTTAAATCAAACTGGAATTCAATTTACTATACATAAATATTGGCATCTATATTAAATAAACCGGGAGTGATCTCCCCTAAACTTTCTCGAATATTCTTATATAAAACAACAGGTGATGGGAACTCGGGATATAGTTATGTTTTTTAATCCATTTTAAATACATAAACTTTTTAAAATAAAATAGAATCTCATAGAAAAAAGTATTTCACACCAAGCGAACGCCGAATAAAGATGTTCATAATGGTGCGAAATATTATTAGTACTTTATAAATTTAGATGCGTTTTTGAGAAATCGGAAATAGCGTAAATTAGTACTTCCCGTCAACGGAAATTACTCAAAGTTTAACAGAAGGTAGAGAATTAGATCTTTTACTTACATGTGAAATTTCATTTATCTATCTGAAATAGTACTCAAGTTATAGGCTTTTGAAAAATTTCAAAGTAGAAAAAGTACCACTTCCGGTTATCGGAAATCGCTCAAAAGTTGATACGGATCTACGATTTTGATGTATGAAACTTCATCAACCTAGCTGTAACGGTACTCAAGTAATCGTGTTTACACACACACACACACAGACACACACACACACACACACACAGACATACGGACAAGATTGCAAAATTATGTTTTTCCGTATCAGTGAGGTGTAAAACGTCGAGATTTGTAAAAATCTCGATTTTTTTTTTTGCACGATTACAATACTTTCTCTATACTACGTATATACGAGAAAGTAAAAAGCAGATTCCGCTTCACACCTAGCAATCCATTGGGCAGACGACTTATCTTCTACTTCTTCTTCGTTCTTATTTTTTTGTGTTGGAAGGGATCCCCCTCCAACACAACTAAGGATACGTGTCAATTGGTTATGCGCCATTGAGGCCATTGACTCCGATTTCTGCTTTCTTTTTGGATTGGCTTCCATAGCCTTTATCCAACCAAAAACAAACTGCAAGGCAGTAGTTGTTTGATTTAGGAGTTGTCTCTCTTAGAAGAGTGGCTGTTCCCAGCTAAAGAGCCTCATCTGCCCGAGGGATCGAACTCGAGACTTTTCGGTTTAGCAACCATGAGCTTTACCGACTCGACCACGACGAGTTAGAGTTTATATTTTTCTTGACTTCGCCATATGAAGGATTAATGTCATCAACACTATGCCCAGCCGACTTTACTTTACATATTTGAATATAAAATTATATGTAATTCAGATCTCGAAATGTTTTAGTAGAAAAGTCAAACCAACATTACTAAAAACGAAGTTAAAGCATACTTTGGTTCATGTATTCTACTTGCTATACGTATTACAAAAGGTGGAGTAGCAAACCTACCACGAGAAATAATTTGAATCCATTCTAATTCAAATGCTTGCTTCCATATTATGCTGAATGCTTCAATATCTGAACACGTATCGTTTTGCGAATCTGTCAATTCTGGAACCGAGGGTGTGACGATCACGCCATCTTCTAGACTCGCAAGGTTCACTGGATTTAAAGCACGTTTGATCAGAACCATTGTTAAAATCTCTAGACATTTGCACTATTACAATGCATCATTTATGTTCCTTATAAGATAAAGTGGTGAGATATTGCGAAAACAAAAATCACTCAGCAATGTCCCGGATGTTTAGTAAAATTTATAAAGTAAGTGGACTCTTCTGACTACTAAACTTTACTTACTATACTTAGAAGTGTAATCATTAACTTTCTCAAACATAAACCTAACAAAAAATAAATAAAAACCAGGCATTTTATAGAGGAAATACGATAGAAAGGAATAGTTTAGTTTTAAATGCAGGCCTATAGTTTATACGGAGAAAAATATCGAATTATTAATGTCGATTGCCTAGAAATCACAAATGGTGAGAACGTTTTCCCGTGTTTATCACGTGAAGAAATACGTGACTATTTAATACACCTTACTACTAAGATGTTTGGTGTTTGAACTCAGTAACGAAGAAGTATATACGTGTTAAAGTGTTTTTTTTTAATAACCATAGCGATTGCATTGGGGATTAAGCTTGGATTTATGGAATTTCTAAAGAATTTCTTCGTTGAAAGAGAGTGTTGCCTAAGTGTCCAAACGTACTTACTGTACTGACACAAAGGACCAAACCAGCCTACGTCACACCGAGAACCGTTCACACATGTGCCCATGTCGTCACATTGGTTGTTGATACAGTGGCACTTGCGCCGGCAAAAAGGTCCAAACCATCCAACGTCACAGCCTGAACATAGTTAATAAATAAATCTAAAAGAAACGAAATACTTATAAAAGTTAAAACAGTCTTATATATATAAATATATATATATATATATGATGTCCGGTCAAACCCCCCTGGACAAAAACCCCCTGGACATAAATCCCCCGACATAAACCCCCTGGACAAAAACCCCCCGCGATATAAACCCCCTGGACAAAAACCCCCCGCGATATAAACCCCCCGGATAATAACCCCCGGAATGAGGTTTATATAAAGAAAAAATAACGATGATGTGAACCAAGAAATTAAAAAAAAAATTACATTAAATTAATTTAATTTTTTTACGACTAAGAAAATAGTTTCTACCTAAAAATATGCTTTTCGAAATCAAGGAGTGACTTTAGTTGTATTTGATCAAAGATCGGGCACCGACAACACCTTAGATATAGGTCATCCACATGTGGGATCCGTGCGGATCAAAGCAACACATTCTTAACAATTCAAAAGATGTGAGGGATTCACATATGTTGCCACCCAAATATTATGAAATTTATTGACTTTATTAAAAAGGAACAATCTCTCTAAGAGGTTTATTGTACACAGATTAATTCAGGTCACTGTTTACCAAAACAGAAAAAAAAATATATTGATAGCAGCTCTCGAATTTTAACTGTTGTTAAAAATTTTAATGAGTCCACCATTATTGAATATTTGCGAAGCATCGCTCACAATCTGTTTTTTTAAAGTTATAATAAAAATAAAAGTTTTTTTTCTATTGTTTGTTTTGTATTTTTATATTAATTTTGTTTCTCATCATCTTTGGTTTTTCCTTATATAAACCTCAATTGGGGGGTTTTTGTCCAGGGGGTTTATATCGCGGGGGTTTTCGTGCAGGGGGTTTATGTCGGGGGGCTTATGTCCAGGGGGCTTATGTCCAGGGGGATTTTGACCGGGAGCCTATATATATATATATATATATATATATATTTATATATATATATATATATATATATATATATATATATATATATATATATATATATACGCTTGCTGAAATATTCAGTGATTTAATAGAAAATACTATTAGGAAAGTCAAACCATTCTCACCAAACATGGGGCCAGCACATAAAGACAGCAATAGCAGAATTCTCCAAGACAAGCTGATATCAAAACCCATCTACGATTTTCTCTCTGTATCAAGAGTTAATCATCTTATAGTCTCAGATTTAATAAGTGTGATTGTATATTTTTCGTAGTTTACATTATAGGCCTATTTTAAATAAATGTTTTAAGGAATTAGATCAGCTTTATGCTTAAAATAATGTGCGTAGTTAATTTTTTTTAAAACTTAAGTAAAAACCTAAACAGCTGTTGGTTTTTTAGCGCAATTTCCATACTGACAATTGCGATTATTAATTCGTTATTTCTGGATGGATGGATGTGTGTCCGCAGATTTAAGTCGTATCTCCTCCTCAACGAAGCAATATCGAGGACTAGTTTCAAAAGCAAAAATGTTAAGCAAGTTCCAAGGATGATTGTGGGCCAAACAATTCCCGGAATTCCTTCCTGGATTTCCCAGAAAAGCCAAAAAACCTCGAAAAAATGCAGTTTTTAGCCCATATCTCGGCAACCAGACAACTTGGTGACTTGAAACATTTACCAATCGATTCCTGCCATAATTTAGAACAATATTGCCGAAGAAAGTTTTCAAAAATATCCTTTCGTTCGGTCACAAAAAATTAATGATTTATCTCGATTTAAAATTGTTATGGATAACATAAGGAAATTGCGCTTAAATTGTCACTAGACTTTTTATTAACTTGTTTTCCTATATTTCCTAGGCTAGGTCTCGATTTAGAACCAGATCTAGAACCAGATCTAGATCTAGATCTAGATCAAATATCTAAATATCAAATAAAACTTGAACCCATATAGATCTAGTTCAATAGAGATAGAATAAATTTTGAGATAAACCTTGCTAAATAATAATATTCAATCATAGTTGGTTTCGTGGCCTTTTTAGGATTAGTTAAAGTCGAAATCGTGTTAAAAAGTTAATACCAAACGTAAACAATAGCTTTATTTGAAGCAGATACCTTCTACGCCCAATGCGAATGCAAATTGGTGCAAACAACTATAGCAAATTACTAAGTGCGCAACGCAATTATACATTTTTACTTTCTCGTATATACGTAGTATAGAGAAAGTATTGTAATCGTGCAAAAAAAAAATCGAGATTTGTACAAATCTCGACATTTTACACCTCACTGATACGGAAAAACATAATTTTGCAATCTTGTCCGTATGTCTGTGTGTGTGTGTGTGTCTGTGTGTCAGTGTGTCTGTGTGTCTGTGTGTCCGTGTGTAAACACGATAACTTGAGTACCGTTACTGCTAGGTTGATGAAATTTCATATATAAGTATTTTATCAAAATCGTAGATCCGTATCAACTTTTGAGCGATTTCCGATAACCGGAAGTGGTACTTTTTCTACTTTGAATTTTTCAAAAGCCTATAACTTGAGTACTATTTCAGATAGATAAATGAAATTACACATGTAAGTAAAAAATCTAATTCTCTACCTTCTGTTAAATTTTGAGTAATTTCCGTTGACCGGAAGTAGTAATTTACGCTACTTCCGTTTTCTCAAAAAACTAATGTAAATTTTAAAAGTACTAATAATATTGCGCACTATTATGCGCTTTTTTATTTCGCGTTCACTTGGTGTGCAATTAATTTGTCTACGAGATTTTATTCTATTTTTAAAACTTTAAGTATTTAAAATGGATTAAAAATCATGTCTATAGCCCGAGTTCCCATCCCCTGTTATTTTATATAAAAATATTCGAGAAAGTTTAGGGGAGATCACTCCCGGTTTATTACTTTCCATGAAAGTGTATTAAGAAAGTATTGTAATTATTAATTTTAATAAATTGCAGATATTTTGACAGTTTTCGCTGTTTGCACCTCACTACTTTATCATAAAAGTAAAGTGATTCTTCCAGACTCCCCCCCCCCCCTCCCGAAGAGATGCCTGGAAGAAACTTTGTATAAGTAACAAAAAGGATGCATTGTAATCGTGCAAGTCTAAATAGAGACTTTGATAAACGTTGACGTTTTGCATTCTTTTGGTACAGAAAAACTTGGTTTTGCAATTGTGTCTGAGTCTGTAAACACGATAACTTGTTTACGTTTCAGTTATATTTACAAAATCTCATATAAAGCATTTTATCAAATGTGAAGCTCTGTTTCAACTTTTGAATACATTTCTGGTAACCGAAAGTTGTACTCACTCTGCTAGGGAGTTTTAAGTTTAGCGACAAAACCAGGCTCACTCTAACTCTTATAATAATACGAGCCGACCCTCTGCGTATCACACGCCGCTTATTCGTTGTTTTATTTTCTACTTATCAGTAATTTATAATTTGTAAATTCGACAGTACCAATGCTGCCACTGAATATATTTGCTTTAAAACACTATCAGTAGGTCGTTAAGGACAATAACCCCCCCACTAACCCTCATTTCCCCCAACCCCTACCCTGCCCCCCCCCCCCCCTTGAAAGCAGCCTCCTCTTAGTTACCTCCCCTAAGTTTAAAATCGTTTATAACTAACATATCTGCCCCTAATAGCCGACAGTAAACCTGGCTCTACGATTGTAAACATTTAGCATGAACCACAGCTCACCAGACCATGTGGGGGTGGGGGTGGGGGTGGTAGGGATAAGCTTAAAAAGGAAGAGAGTGGGCTGCTAGGAGCGCTTACAGCCTGTTTTTTCAAGGGTATCCAAGAAGAAAATTATATATATATAGATATGTATATAATACATGAGTTAAAAAATTGTGTTATTTTGTGGCATTGTAGTTTAATTTAGTTTATGGTGGAGGATTTAAATAACAATTTCTTGGATGAAATGGACTGTGGTCTCCAGATCTGCAGATGCCCCATATAGTTTATACTTGAGTGGGGTGTATAGGGGCCAGTGTTTGGATCGTACCTGGCTATATAAGGAACATTCCTAAAGGACGTGTTCTGTATTCTCCGGAACCATGCTTTAAGTTTTGCCATCTCCAATTTCTTGTGTTTTATACATGTGCTGTTTTAGTCTGTTGTGGCCTGTTCCGAGTCTGAAGATTATGTGTTGTCGTTTGCGTGTCTGGTTGAAATGGTTGAGGTAGATTTTGTCTGAAAGAGAAAGGGGTACTTAATATGAGGCAGTGATTGTAGAATTAAATGACGGTAAAACGTGAAGACAGCGTGTCCTTTCAGTGTGTTACTCGATACTTTTACAATCACTAAGTTTTTCTTTTAATTTTTTTTTTATTTAGAGTTTTTCTTTTTAAATATTGTTATTTATCTTTTTATTTACCTATTTTTTAAACCAAATCAATAAAAATAGACAAAGGCGCTTACACAAATCATAAAGTGTAAATAATTTAATTAAAGCTCTTTTTCATTAGATATTATCTAGTACATTCGATAATGTATCACGTAGATAGGGGAGGGAAATAATTCTTTTAGAGTTACGCAGTATTTCCGCGGTTGTTTCCCTTTGACTTTATGTCTGAAATTTGTAAATTTCTTTCTTGAGGAAACAAAAATGTTCTTAAGAATAGTTCATTATTATTGGCCTATATTTAAAGTCGATCACTTATTTTATCATTTTTCATGCATTTTTCACAAGTTACTACTGTAACTGTGATAGTAATAGTATTGGTAGTTATAGTGTATAGTAGTAGTCGCGGTATAGCAGATGCAATAATTGTAGAAGTCGCAGCTAGTACATTATCTATATATATAATTCTCCTCTTCGAGCCGTTAGAAAACAAGCTGCAAACGCTCTCCCTACCTCCCCACCCCTACATGGTTTTAGTGAGCTGTGTTCACTCTAAATGTTTACAAGCAGAGCCAACGATTTTAAACGTAGGGTGGGGGGAGGGGGGGGGGAAGGAAGGGGGGGGGGGGGGGTTATGGTCCTTAACGAGCTACTTATAGTGTTTTAAAGAAATATTTTCAGTGTCAGCGTTGGTACTGTCGAATTCACGAATTATGAATTATTGAAAATTAGAAACAACTAAATAGCGGCGTATGTTATGCCGCGGGCCGGCTCGTAAGTTATAATAAGGAAAATCAGTTATTTTATTCATTCTCATAACATTTGTTTAATCATTGGCGGAGGTGGGGGGAGGGACTGTCAAAGCTGGATCCTAGAGCGAGCTACAAAGCAGGAAAAAAAGTTTAAAACAAATATAGATTCAATAGGACACTCCTTAAAAATATCAACTACTAGGTATGAAGTCAGTGAAAATAATTTGAAATCAGATGAACGGCTTAAAAATATCAACTACTAGGTATGAACCCAGTGAAAATAATTTGAAATCAGATGAATGGCTTAAAATTTTATCAAATACTTGGTATGAAGCCATTGAAAATAATTTGAAATCAGATGAAATTGAGACAAGGGATAGGTCAAAAGACAGCGGTTAATATAAATGCCTCTAAGCTTCACAATTAAGGATATAGGGAAAAGAAGTAAATAGACTTCAAAGCAAGAATTCACATTTAAAAACGGTGAATTATAATTTCTACTTTTGTATACTGACTGATCAATTCAGTATATGCTTCTTATTCGTCTGGTTTAAATTTAACGAAATTTAAACATACTATTTTTGACCACCATTTCATCTAACCTTCACAAATAATGATTGAACCTAATGTCGCACCTACCGGTGGCAATAGTTCATTGTTGCTTAACCGAAAAGTCCCAAGTTCGAATCCCCAGGCAGATGAGTACTAAATACCTAAGGACAACAACTCATCTAGGAGAGAAAACTCCAAAGTCAAACAAAAGATGCTAACACTGCATCACTGGGCGTATGACCTTCCAGCAAAGGTCACAGGCCAGGGTGTAAGAGTTCCTCGATGAACTTCAAAGGTCACGTATTCGTGACCAAGACGAGCCTACTAGATGAAGGCATCCGGCTGTGGCCAGGCATGGAGATGGGCGTGGTCATTCGACACATTAACCCTAGACACACCACTCTATGGTACCCATTCAAGTGTCAAAGGGGGATAGAGATTTAGATTTTAAAGCCACACATATAATCCCTGAACATAAGGCTGTTCACATATTTCTATTCAATTTTGTTTGAAGTGAACCTGAAAATTATAACACGAAAATCCAAATAACAATGTTTAAAATGTTAATCAGTAATTAAAATCACGTTACTTTGTAAATAAAATAACTAAAACAAAGATTATTGTGTATCGCTCAAACGGAGACGACTCGTACAATACAATACTTAGACAATTATTGAGTTGTCTGCCCTGAAATAAGACTAGACAACACAGAGATAGACAGACGAATAGAAATAAAACGGGAATGATCAACCCTAGGCTTTCTCGAATATACTTATATAACACTAGGAGGGATGGGGGACGGCAACTTGGGATATAGACATCCTTTTTAATCAATGTTTACATACTACAAACGTTTCAATATAGAAGAGAAGCTCGTAGAAAAAAGAATTGTGCACCAACGGAACTGCAAACAATGCGTCTATAAAAATACAGAACATCAGTACTTTATAGGGTTAGGGTTAGGGTTAGGGTTAGGGATAGGATTAGGGCTAGGGTTAGGGATAGGATAAGGGTTAGGGTTAGGGATATGGTTAGGGATAGGATTAGGGTTGGTGTTAGGGTTGTGAGGTTGTAAACACACGCATGCGCAGTACCATCGAAAACATCGCCGCGATGGCAAGTTGTAGTTTCTCTCCATTGCGCATTCGTATCTTATTCCGGCTAGCATCGGCCTTAATAAAAATCAAGAGCTAGCATAAGTATGAACTGTATGGGCACGTGCTTAATGTATATTAAAAACAGGCCACAAAGACCCAATCAGCATGCTCGTGAACTCAATACAATAAACATTTGTTAATTTTAATAGGAGCTACTTGTTGTTTCCTAGAGGTCTTACATAAGCAGGCTGTTAAGGATAGAGAGTGAGGAGATTGTGTAGGAGGTAGGTAGGAATCCCGAGTTAGTAGCTTGTCTGGTGGGAATTAGGGGTAGCACATTAG